AGCATTTCTAATCAAGGTTTCTCTCGAAGGTGAAGGGAACACTAATGGAATTTTTCTGAGGGTTTATTAAATGACTGTGAAATGAAATTAGGAAAGCAAATGAATCATTGCAGTGGATAAGATCATTGAATATTGACTTTTCAACACAAAGCATTGGATAATGAGGCAGGACTGGTTTAAGACACTGACAGACAGCAGGTAGATGAGCTCAGATGAATATAAAGGATGGATTGCGATAACTCTTTTATGTAAATGTTTTATTTTATTTAAGACGTTTGTATGGGCCACACGTAACAACAAAGCATTTTATTATCATATTTATTATCTCAGAGAGGTCAGACAAGTGACTTTTGCTCTTTAATGCACCTGGCTTTTATTCTCACATTCACCTGCACATTGATTTACTTCTCAGTGACATACTATGCTGTTGCCTCTCACTGCTATAATATCCAGGCATTCCCAAAAAATCATAGAGAAAATATGTATAGGGTTTGCAACGTTCACAAACTTACACATCCACAAACAATCTAATGTTTTTAAGTGCACCAAAGTGTGCCAGTAAACTGTGCTTTGCTTTTAACATAAAACTGTCACTGCTTCAGAATTATGATGACAAAGATGAACTTTTTTATAGCTTAATATTAAACACACTGATTTGCTTTATTCCAGAGTTAGAAGAGATGACACCACTCCAGAACAGAGCAGGTTTATTATTAGGGTCCAATTTAAGACAAAGTTCAAAGACTGAGGGAAATCTAATCAAGTCAATTGCATTAAAAAACATGAAATATGTATATTATCTGACCAAGAGGATCGATTCATTGCCGAGTGTGTTTGCTTTCAGCAGGATGCAGCAGCGGCTCAGAGAACAGCTGTAAATGACACTGTGAACTCATCTGTGAAGTAAACAGATGAAAGACAGAGAGACTCATTTTTAGTTGCTATATGGCTTTGATTGATACCTTCAAGGCCGAATGTACAAAAACACCCATCCGTTATATTGTAATCTGGCAAAAAACCTTCTGCTGAGGCCCTTTTTTTTCTACATTAGTCAGAAATACAGCTCTTTCCTCTAAACTTCAACAGTTATATATGATAAATCTGACATGTGGTATGGTCCGTATACTACCGAAAAGACTCAAACCAATTTGTCAGGCCCGGCTGTGAAACACTAACATCATGTCATATTCAAGCCTTTTGTTTTGTTCTTGAGATAGTTGCCTATTTGCAGCCTGGAGCCAGCTGACACACTGCCAAACCCCTCCTGGATCCATCATGAAAATAAGCTTGTACTTCATAGCCCAGTGCCTGTTTTGAAGAGTGTTCTTCTGATTATAAATACCTGACGCTGAGCTCAGGCGCTGCTGCTGGCTTTGCTCCACATCACCACAGCTAATGTGAAAGTAAAGGCACCTCAGAGTGTTCAGAAGAGTTTCTGGTGGTGCACTGCGCAGCCAGGCATACTGATGGAGGACATGGGCAACAGCCTCGTATCAGATAGGCTTTTATAACAATCATATACAGCACTCAGTCTTTCATTACTCCACCATGGAGGCTATGTTTTTGGTTTTGTCATCCTGTTTTAAATGGCCAGATTATTTTTTAAACCTTGTGGAGGGTATGGGCCAAGGAGCAACCCCCTTTACATTAATGAGCAGATCCAAATCATGGGGGGGAATACACACATTCTTTTTCAGTAATGAAAACAGCTTTGATGGAGGTTTGCCCTCTTTTCAGCAAATTACTGGATTATCATTACTGAATAAATGTAATTTAGCGAGTCGAGGAAGAGCTGAAATACCTTTGGATCATTAACATTGCATTATAAAATTAAAAATAATATGCGTAGTATGTCTTTATCTACAATGTCACTATGGCTGTTACAAAAATGTAGTGTAGTAACATTTCAATTTCAAGTGTCATGAATTGTAAATAATACTTTCAAATTGTATAGCTGAATAAATGTTCTTTTCCACAAGTGAACAAATTGTACGTTTAGCATCAAAAGTGATATCCTTCTTTTGTGCCATAGCTTAGTCAGCCGGCTGCTTGCGCTAGCTTTACAAAATGATCCAACAGCTTTGAACTTCTCTTTATGTATTCTTTTTACAAATCTGAAAGCTGTCATACCAGATTCTGTTCAGTATCAAATAGATTTAAGTAGTGATGACTGTTGTAACAGGAAGCTGGCATTATCAGCAGTGTCAACACCTCCTTTTCGCTTCACTAGGTTGGCATTTCACTGTTTGTCTAAAGCTTCTTCTCAGTGAGTCTTCCTCCTGTCTTTGATTAAGACCTTTACGAGACATGAGACTGCTGTGCAAGCAATGAGCTCATACTGCATTCTTATTAAAAGTCTGAGTTTCTCTAGTTTTGTAATTTATTTACAACAAGTTCCTCAAACCTTTTTCTGAAGCTCCACTCAATATAAATGCAGGTTGTTCAAAATACAAGTGACACGTCTTTATCCAAAAGGTCAGACAGGAAGATGTAGAAGCTAAAGCATACATCTAGGTTGAAAATGTACTCCGACCAGCCAATCCGAGGGAAGTCAAGTGTGGAAATTGGAACTGGCAGCAAATTCAAATCCACACAGTCCCAGCTAAAGGGAGGAGTGCTGCAGGCTTTCTCTCATACTACCGTGTCTCACAGTCAAGTCCTGCACTTGTTAAGTCTCCTGACAGAAGGTATTATCTTCAAAGGGCAGATCTGCTGAGCTGAGATGTCTTGACTTGTCTCGAACACAGTAAACAGAAAAGGATTCCCCCAAAAATTCTAAAAAATCCATCTTTACATATTATAAGGATGGAAAATGCTGAAGGTCTTTCACTTTAACATGTAGGCAGAGCCAAGTGGCCAAACATCTAACTGATAAGGCCAGGATTTACTTTACAACAATTTTGATAATCAACAAATTGTCCTTTATGAAGAAAAAATGTGAATTGTTCTTTTTTTCAGTTTGAATGTGTTTCTAAATGTAATATGCTTGGGTTTATGACTATTGGTTGAACAAAGCAAACATTATCTAACACCTTGTTAGATAATGAGATATTGCGATGGTAATTTCTCCAAATGTACATACATTTTATGAGCATTACATCGATAAACATATTGAAATAGACAAGAAAAACAGCTGTCTGTTACGGCCCCAAAGTAAACAAAAGAAACACAAAAAGGAGCACAAACTCATCAATGTTTGCAATGAGTGATTGATGAAGTCAGTAAAGAATTATGAGTTTTACCTGGATTGACTTGATTCATTTGTACTCTCATTAGTACTTTTTTTGTGTTTATGTTGGCTATGATTAATCTGTGAAAACAAACAACAGACAAAGGAGTTGCTTTTTCCACGCTAGTCGGTTTAATGCGGCATGATATGTTTGTTGGCTTGTGATTTCACTGATCCAAAAACTCAATATTACTTTTTAGCTGCCACCAGCAGCTGCTTTGTTGGACATAAGATTTTCCGACCCTTTGAAAACAGAAATTCAACAAAGAGGTCAAATAATTGTCAGGTTGTGCGTGTCTGAATGCAAGAACATGTGGAGGCATGCCTGAACGTGGTCACAGCTGTTGAAAATACGCGTTTGTTAAAGAAAACATTTTCCAGGTGGAAGAGTAAAATCCATCACATGAAAAATCCTCCTACTTGAACACATTAAACCTTCATCCATTTCACTAAATCCCCTCTAAGCTATATTTTTAGAATGGCTTTTTTTTGCAGGGACATGCATTTTGTCTGTGGAGCTGGCATTTAATTATGAAAAGAATAATTAAAGGGATGAGTACGAAAAGCTGCTCTTGTGCCTGAGATCAACTGGTGTCTCTGTGCTGATAAGGCCTCTCCACTGACAGGAGAGAGCTGCACAAGCAGTTGCATGACAGCGCTCAAAGGGTGCCCCCCTCACATGTGAAGGTATAATAATGGAAATGCATCCATCACAGCCAAAGCCTTACTCTGGGACAAGATGGAGCTTCATTTTTGTTTAATTGGCTTGCTGTTTGTCTTTCTCCTGCAGGTGTCTTCTCTTTGCATCAGGAGCAACCATCAGCCCCACAGATACCATAACTGGATGGCATTTTAATGAGCCTCCCTTTTAAAGAATTCCCCCCATTTTTCTCTCCTACTCCAGTTCACCTTTTGCCACCCTGGAGTAAAAGGAGTGCACGCGGCTGCCTGCATAGTATGACATCCCCAGTCAAATACTGTGTGCATGTGTGTTGCAGTAACAGAAACTCTTTCCGCCCACACTCTCTCACTCTGACACCTCCCCTCCCCTTATTGTAGCCCCAACCACCACCTCACCCTGCTCCAGCGCCTTGCTGCACGTGCTGCTGCACACTGAGTCCCACGCTTCTGAGGAAAGATTCTCCATGCTCAAGTCCAGAGGGGCAGCAGAGTGCGGGGGCGTCATCCAGCCTCAACGAAGATGGTGCTCCTCATCAATATGATGAAGCAGATGTAATTAGAACACATATTTGAGTAAAGCATGAGGTGAAGAGATGCTGCTGGAATGCAATGGTTTAAATCAGTGAAACCACCTTAACATGAACAGATATGTCTATATAAAACCAATTTGATTTCAAATTAGGGTTTGAATTAATGAGCAGGAGTGGAACAAATAAATTTGTTTTGCCTCAACCTGTTTTTTTTTGTTGGGGGGGGGGTGATTTCAATATTTAAATGAGCATCTAAAAAGGATGCTGTGTGACAGTTTTCTTTACCTGGATATGCAAGTGACACGGACAATGGATGCATAATTTAATGTAAATGTCATGAAAAAAAAAAAATTAACACACATCAGGTCTGTGTTTTACTAATCACTCATTTCAGTTTGAATAAGGTAAACTCTCTGGCTGCAATTTCCATTTTTCCAGAAAAGATCCCCACTTCACTCTTGTTAATGTTACTGTTCCTCACAGGAGACGGGGGGAGATCAAGGAGCCCACACACTGTGCAGTGTGTGCGGAGGGGTGATGCTTCGAGAGCGCATCACAGGACGACAAAACCCCACTGCAAGACGCAGAGCCAGAATAGAGCAGCTTTGGCACGAGAGCTATTTTCCTATAGGTTGTAGAGGGGAACAAAAAGAGTAGAAATCGTCTTCGTTTCCCCTAACATACTTCTCATGATGCCGGAATCCTCCTGGTCGTCTTTGCTGGCCAGTATACAGAGACAATGTAGTTGAGAGAGAAAGGGGAACTGCACCGGTGGAGAGATCTGGGGATGAATGGACATGGTTATGGGTGATTAATTGCATTTTCAGCTGGAGAACAACACTGGATATGCTCAGAAAAAGTGAGGATAAGTGAGTTTCGGGGCCCACAGGATGGACACTGCGGAGGTGATTCTGTCTGTGTTGGTGGTTGTGATTATCATAGTGTCGTTGCTGTCCAACGTCCTGGTGCTGATCTGCTTTCTGTACAACCCGGAGATCCGTAAGCAGGTCCCCGGTCTGTTCAACCTCAATCTCACCTTCTGCAACTTGTTGCTGACCGTGTCCAACATGCCTCTCACTTTGGTGGGACTCGTCAGTAAGACTCAGCCGGGAGGGGACGGCTTCTGCCAGATCGTGGGCTTCCTGGAGACATTCCTGTCCACCAACTCGATGCTGAGCATGGCAGCTCTGAGCATCGACAGGTGGATTGCGGTGGTGTTCCCCCTGAGGTACCACTCCAAAATGCGCCACAAAGACGCAGCTTTGGTCCTCGGGTACACGTGGGTGCACTCCGTGTCCTTCTCCACGGTGGCCACCTGCCTCTCCTGGGTGGGATACCACCGGCTTTACGCGTCCTGCACGTTGTCCAACCCGAGGGCGAGCAGCCGGACACCGTTTGTTATCTTCACCGTCTTTTTCCACTCCTTTTCCTTCCTCCTGTCTTTTATAGTGCTGTGTGTCACTTACCTCAAAGTGCTCAAAGTGGCAAGGTTTCACTGTAAGAGGATCGACGTTATTACAATGCAAACGTTAGTGCTGCTGGTGGATATACACCCCAGGTGAGCTCCTTTAACTTATTATTCCTGTTTGTGTTCTTCCTGTACATGCGGCTTTATTTTCTTGATTCAGTTAGAAGAGAGCTTATAGTTAAGAAAAAAAGAAGCATATCCACCATTTTATCGAAAGGGGGAGGGGGGCTGATGTCCCTGGGATTAATGAGTGTATTAAGATACATGATTATTTATTTAATTAATTTAAAAGCCTAAATGTATAGGTAATATACCATCCTTGCACTGAAGTGTGTCCTCAGTATTCAGAGGCAATACAACATCTGTATCCACTTAATCCAGGGTGATTGCGTTACTCTGCCTCTATAACATAATGTGTACATATAGTGTGAGCATGTGTGTGTGTGTGTGTGTGTGTGTGTGTGTGTGTGTGTGTGTGTGTGTGTGTGTGTGTGTGTGTGTGTGTGTGTGTGTGTGTGTGTGTGTGTGTGTGTGTGTGTGTGTGTGTGTGTGTGTGTGTGTGTGTGTGTGTGTGTGCGTGTGTGTGTTTGGTTATATACTGTCTATAAGCTAGCTGGTGTTCTCTGGTGAAATTCCCACTTTTATAAATTGTCATTCTTGTTTTACATTGATTGACATCAGTGTTGTTTGGGATAAATATGTTATTGTCCCTCAGCTCAGCTTCCTATATATTTAACCCCTGTCCAACAGAAATAAAACACAAGCGCACCAACTCCTTGCTGTCTTTTATGACATCTCTGGAGACAGTATGTGGTCTTCCCTCAGTGTGTCTCCCTGATATTAATCCACTGAACTCTCTGTGTGTTTAAAGTGTTCGCCAGCGTTGCCTGGAGGAGCAGAAGAGAAGACGACAGAGAGCGACGAAGAAGATCAGCACCTTCATCGGCACCTTCATGATCTGCTTCGCTCCCTATGTGATCACAAGGTGAGAAATAAACTGTGTAGGCGGGAGAGGGAAACCATGCCGGCACACTGCGGCGTACGCAGCCTCTTTTGTTCTGCTGGTATATCCCCCAAAGCTCCCTCCTCTGCTGTCAAACCCTCTCCCCTCCCCTCCTCCTCCTCCTCCTCACTGCCTCCTCTCTGCTTACTCTCCACAACGGCCAGAGTTGGAAGATGAGATTGGCTGACCTTGTGATAAGTAATATGCCTCTGCTCTGCTGTTGTTGCTGCATTAGCACTTTTCTCCTCAAATTGCTCGGGTGCATCACTTAGTTAGGAGGAATCCACTTCCATCAATCACTCGACAAAGAGAGGCTGTCACATGAAGCTTCAGTGTAAAGCACATAAGTGATGCGCTAGTGGACGTGTGAGAAGAAATACCAACATATAACTATTTATACTTTGTAAATTAAATCATACAAAGTGCCATAAAATATAAAAACAACACATAGAGTAAAGGGGGGTGATATAAACCTTAGAATGGCAAAATATCCAAGACACATGGATCACAGTAAAATATATGTATAATATAATATGGATTTATACAAATTCCGGAGTTTACATGTTCTGGTAACTCTCAAGTGTCAATTCTCCTGAGTTACAACAAACACACAAACTACTTTCTTTAGAATATCATGGTAAAGTTAACTATTTTGAAGTCCTGGCTACTTTTTGTATTTAATTGGCAGTGGCCTTCTGAACTCACACATTGATTAACAGCTAATGTCACAAGCATTGTTTCATTTCCTGTAACTATAATGCCAATAAGTTGATATTTTGCAGAAACAGGAGATGTGTGCAAACTAATTATAAACAGCTTGTACCTAATACTCATCATTATAGCATATCATTTTAGCAGAAAACGCAACTTTGTACTAACAGGTAACCAATACGTGAAGCTTTATACATCCAAAAAACTACAACTTCTGAAGAAAACTGCAAGTCTAAGATCCAACATGCAGACGAATTGTTGGGCAATGCATTTCTGGGAGTACATCACTCAAAAATAGACTGTATTTCATCCTCATACTGTCTGGTTTTAGTATGAGCATCTACTCACTTTTCCATACTAAAACATTACTTAGTGTAGAGAAGAGTAGAGTATGTCATATGGATCATTTGTTTTGTCATGTAGATGGGCTTACTCAACCAAAAGAGAAAATATTCCATTAGTTAGTACTACTGTATGTTATTTAAAACCATTCACTCATAGGGCGTTGGGGTGACGGAGCTAGAGAGGATGTCTGTATGTTTGGATATGAAATGATACAGAAGATATTACTCTCTCTATCCTCTCTATAAGCCTTAAACACATTTTTAAATTGGTCCGTTGCAAGTGTTTGCAAGTTGTTCTTCTACTCTAATGGTTTTGGTATCAGTAGGCTGTCAGTAATGAACGACCATAGCAGCACTGTGCTACTTTCATTCTGTGTATAACTGTTTACTAATTACTATCTGAACATATTATGCTAAAAGCCCCTCCACTGCATACTCATTTGTTGTCTGGGTCATTATGTGTATAGTAAAATCACCGCTGTGCGCCTCACAGCTGACTTAACCTGCTGTTTGCTCTGCTGCTGCGGAGTGTGTGGGCAAATGCCAGTGATGGCTACTGGCCCATGCTAGGCCAGTGTTACACTGCTGACAGAGCTTGATTGTAGACACAGTAATCATACAGATTGCAAGCGGAAAAGGATCAGCAATATCTTAACCACCTTTTATGACAACATGTACAGGAAGGTGTATTCATATTTGACAACAATGAGTGTGAAAGCACCAATTTTCTGTCTTTATGGGTATGACTGAGATCACGTTAGGATGCAGACTTCAGAAAACGTCATTATGTGCCACTTTAAATCTAATATACGGTATTTTAATTACTGAAGAGTATTTTTTTACCCCTGCTGAAAGAACTCACTGTCCTCTGTCCTTTATGGTTTTCTGCTTAGCCCTCAGTCTGAAAGTGTATAAAATAACAATCAGAGTTAATTGGCTTGTTTCCAGACACTCATTACTGCTTAGACAGGTCTGTTTTATTCTTCCGGTGGCCCTGACAGATATGCTGCTGGCTGCATGTGAGTGGTGAGATGATAAGAAGCTTCACGCTGTAAATCCAAACGCATGAGACAAGTAGAAACACCCTGCTTATGTGCAACAATGGCTTGCAAATATATTTTTATGTCTTCATGATGAGCTCAGGGCATGCATGCATTTTCAACCTTTGCTCCCCTTCTCTCACCACCCTCTCTTTATGCTTGCCTGCAGGATCGTGGAGTTATTTCCAACGGTGCCTATCAACCCTCACTGGGGAATTGTTTCCAAGTGCTTAGCTTACAGCAAGGCAGCCTGCGACCCCTTTGTGTACTCACTGCTCCGACACCAATACAGGAAGACGTGCACTGACATCATCAACAGGCTGCTGAAGCGGAGCTCTTTGAACGCATCGGGGCGCGGACACGAGAACCAAGTCAACAGCATAGCAACTGCAGAGTGACCCGGCAACTGTCAGGGAAATATGAGGCTGATTTATCGCCGATTAAGAACAGAAGAAATAGTGCTTGTCCCTGTCCATGTCTGCTTGAATTTGGTCTGACAAGCCAAAAGAAAGCGACTACAGACAGAGGGCAAATCCCCAGCACCCTGGAATACCACAGTGCTTGCATACTGAAACTCCAGAACAGCAGATCAGTGCAGTGAACTTGTGAGGACAATGAGAAAAGGGAGATTTCACATCCACCGGAAGAGACAGATGTGCTCACCCAAGATGAACGGCCAGTTCATAGCCTCATTATTCTGACATGGTAGCTTTAAGTCTGATATAAGACATAAGGATTTAGTTTTACATTACGTCTAACATACATTCTACGGAAGCCCTGAGAGGCAAGTGAGAAAAAATACAATGATCCATTTTCTAATGTCTATATCTAAAGGGTTTTCTCTCCTGTGTTTATGTCTTAAGAAGAGGTGATGTTTGTTTCACCTAGATAATTTTTCATCATATGTAAAAAATTACACCTTTTCCCACCTGTTTCACGGATGAAAAGAACACCCTGGAGCAGAATCTTTTTTTTCTAACTTGCCAGTCAGGGCTTCTGTAATGTTTACATTATATTTTTTAAATGAAAGAAAGGAAAGAATAGAAAATGGCTGTTTGCCGATTTAGTGACAGGTTGATGCGTTCACACTGTATGTAGCACTATAAACTAGCCTAACCAAAACTAACCAAATTGTATTACAGATGAAAACGTACAGCAGACTGCACAGCTCGGCTCAGGTTTACATTGCCTTGAAGCATAATGGCCAATGAAAGATAAAGCTATGTGACTATGTGAGACTTTGTGTTTGTCTGTGTTTCATGTGTGGTATTTGCGCACCATTTAGCAAGACTTATTGACCCAGCCAAGCAGAGTTTTAAAGGTAAAAATAAGCCTTCAAACCGACTGCCTTTGCTGTCATGACTGACATGTGCCCCTCAGGTTGATTAACTTAGCCAAGCGTGATTGACAGTCGGGCGGATTTGTACTCACAGAAAAGAGTGACAGGGAGTGACATGCTTTTTGATTTCTCACACATTTGGGCTGGATGGAAAGGAAGGAAAAATGCATCTGATGTCCTTATTTTCATCACTTGGGAGAGTGACTATAACTAATGACAACTTGTGATGTTTAATGACGGTCTTTCATGAAAAGCAAAAAATAGTATCTGTTTTCTGCTTGGCAGTCAACATGTATGTTATTTATTGAGATGGAACAACTTTAAGGATTGCAGTGTCCCTCTTTTTACTCTCACATGAATTGGGCGCACATGATGTTTATTTATTTAGGCCCATTGCTTGTGAAGTATTGTAGTTTCAGGTCTTTGTTGAAGACCTAAGTCCAAGAGCCTTCTTGACTGACAAAGTGTTATCTGACTCAATAAATGTTGTACCTATTATATTTTTGTTCTGTAACAGAAGAAAGGCAGCTCTGTATCAGAGGTCTTTTCCCTGGGCTTAACTTTTTGTAGAGTAGACATATGTAGATGGAAGTCCTCGACGCCTTAGTTTAATAAAAAAAAGGGATAAAGAAGACGTTTTTGATGGATTTGGTGTTCAGTCGGTACAACAGTAAGTTACTGTCTGTATGTATCACACACAGTGCCAAAACGATCAATGACACCCAGTGAGCCAAATATAAGTAGCTGCAGTTCATTTTTATGAAAACATAAAAGAAGATAGATTAAAAAAATATATTTATGAAATTACTTATTGATACATGTTTGCTTTTATTTTGTGTTCATGGTTGTTACGGAAGCTCTAAAAGTTAAGTGAGGAAAAATAAGGCAGATCTAAATATCCTCCTGTGTTTATGACTTCAGCACAAGAGTAGAAAAATGAAGGAACTAATATACTGTAGATATATATATGGAGAGAAAACTATTAGGATCGGACTGAAACGCATTAAAAGTTATTTTTGGACATGGTTCTCAGGGCTTCCGTAAACTTTTGATAATACAGAGGAGAAATAGTTGTCTTGGATATATGATGCATTGCAAAGTTATGTTTGACACTCCAAGACAATCAATGCCTTAATCTCTGTTATATATGATATGTTCTTTCCATTCACAACGGCATATGGGTATTTTGAACAATATAGATAGAGTAAATCATTGCCTTATTCACTTCAGCTCATGAAAAATCTGTATTTCTTTACCTTCTGCTTTCCATGGTTTCTGATCATGTTTTGCACTGATGTAGAGTAGTTATTTTCCTCATACATGATGGTTATTGGTGAAAAATCAAGGTATTATATATGTTGATAGATTTAGATAAATGACAACTTGAAGAGTATTTTTGTGTCTTTTTGATATACGTACATGTAATTTATGACGACACTTTATTTGTTGAGTGTTTAAGAATGTGCTGCTTCACCTGCAAATTAAGTTAAAACCGTTATTGATAGGTGACAATGCATTGACTGTATACCTCATTTTGTTAGGGTGGCCTCAAGTGTTTTGTTATTTACTTACTCATTTATTCAACCACTGGCACGATGCTGCTGCAGATGGCTAGAACAATTGTTGATGATGATGTTTTACTGATAGGATGAAGATATTTGGTTTTGATGGAGATTGTAATTGTAATTTTGGATAAAATCAAGAGGATGACTGTTTCAGATGTTGACCATGATTATTAAAGTGAACTCTACCAAAGTGGTTTTGTGCTGTTGTGCAACTTCTCTATTTCTCTATATACTCTATTCTATTGAAAGCTGTTTTTTTTGTATACAAATAGGACACACAGAAACTCACAGAAACACCGCTCCAACCTTTCATTATCCTTTTTCTTCACCGACATATTTAAACAAAACCTTGACAAAAAAAACTTGTTTTTCTGTTTTCTGGATGCACAATTTTAAGATTTAGATGACATAATATAGACTTATAACCAAGCCTGATGAGCCTCTAAATGTGCCATTGGCTTAAAAGCATTGGAAATATAAAATGGTTTCACTTATTTAACAGTTTGCCTTTATTCCTTTCCTCAAACAAATCAGTGTTTTTCAAAAAGAAAAATAACTGTTATGTTTGCTGTAATGAAATAATATGTTGCCAAAATACAACAGTGTGGCTTTTTAAAGTATAACCTTTATCAAGCTGTGGCTTCACACACACAACACTTGATATTTGGTGTTAAGAGAAAAAGTTTTACCCACTTCACAAAAATGACCCAGGGATAGATCAGTGCCACAATCACGTCTTTGAGACACAACAGGAGGGTTTGACATGACGTGATTTTGAGCTTTTGTATCTGCAGCCATTCAGACTGTTTCCACCTGCAATCAGTCTGAGGCAGAGGGAAGCGAGTTTTCTGTTCACACCAGAGCGCGAGTGGTAATGAAACAACATCAGCGGCAGGCAGAGATAGCCTCGTCTGTGATTCTGAACACTGATTCACACCTCAGGATCCAGTGATTATCTTCAGGTGGGTGGCGCTGACCGTAAAACACGACTTGATCATCGGCATCAACCCACTCAGTCAGCTCACTGCACCCCCTCCCCATCCGAGTGAGTAATAAAGCAGAACTCAGAGTGAAAAGTGGACACCTCGATTTGAACAACACAGGTATGTTTGTGGTTTTTATCTACAAAACACTTTCAATTGGGTTCAGGAAATGTTAAAAGATGTTCACTGCAAATCTCTGAAAGTCTCTGTTCTTGTCTAAAATCTGTATAAAGCAGTGGCGGTTCTAGACTAATTTTATTTGGGTTACTTTTTTAGTTACTTTGGCCCAAGATACTGAACATTAAAATAAGTTTGGGGTAATAAATACATTAATTATGCAGCCAAACTCTGTTTTTTATCTAATTTCTTAGTATTTGTTTTAATCACAATATGTGTTTCAGTAACTTAAATTACATTATTGATAAAATCCCAGTTAGCTTTGGCCCAGGTCACAGCACAGTAACTTAGTATTTTACATTAATTGCATTATCATAGATGTATTCTTTATAAAGATATCTATATCAATACTTAAATATATATATATAAATATAACATATAACAAATACAAAAAAGACTATGAATACTGCTTTTCATCCAAATACCAAAAAGCCCATCCAACCTCACCTTGGCTTTTTCCACCACATCTGAATGACATGTACTGTAGGTATATTTGTGAAAATTGTAGGATCCCGCATAACTATGTGATTTGCATATCAATAAACAAAGAACATGTGGTGCCCATTATCCCACTGGTATTCTCCCATGTGTCACCATATGCTTTCAGTTTGACTACACTGTGCAGTAATGAGTTATGTGTGGCTTCTCCTCCTGAGTGTCATTACTGTAGCCTTCCATTGAGGAGGAGTATCTGTCACTTTTGATTTGTATTAGCTGTGACATCGAAATAAACAACATATGCTAATAAAACATAAGAGGAGGTTGGTGCAGGATATGTATTTTTGGATGTTGGTTGAACTGTTCCTTCAATAAAGGCTGCATTACACATGACAATAAAAGCCTTGAATCTTGAATCTTTCCGAGAGAGCATCCTTGTGTAGCACTGGCTCAGGAATGTGGCCTACTGTAATAACTAGATAGGCAATATTTTTTAATTAAATGATCAATGAATCACTCATGTTATTAGTGTCACTTGTTTTTGACATCGTGGTTGTCTTGTTTATTTGTTCAAATGACATGCCATTAAAAAGGAAGGTTCAATGGGAGTTTGATAGCGTCAAAATAAAACAAGGCCAGTGTGTAAGGCCTTTAATATACCTGGATAAGCATGAAGCCGATGTATGTAAGTGATATCCATGTCTGTTTTCTTGTTTGCCACATATTGGCTATGAGTGATACTTCAATTTGAAGTTAGGATTTGTAATTTATTCTTAGATAAATATATCACAATTCAATAGAAATCCAGAGCTCTTGTTTGATCAGCCTGCTGAGGGTGGAGTTGGTTTGCTTGTTAAACGCTAAACCTGTAACAGCTGTCCTGGGGCTGCTACAGTTTAAAAATGACTGGTTTATACACTCATACTAGCACAAGCTGTGGCTCATCATTACAGAGGCTCTATTGTAGAGTTTTATCATTAACTAGAGAATGCAATTCCTGAAGAAATTGCTAGTGGGAATGCTTTATGCTGAAAAGCTGACGCTAAACTGCTATGCTGAAATGTAATGTGTAAGAAGAAAGTGAATAATTTAGATTGAAATGATACATGAACACTGGGGGCTTGAATGTGTGATGAGAGAAGAAAATAAAGTAAAAAGGCTTGGAAAAGCAGCAGAATATTTGAACTGCAAACTTTTGAACTAACTTGATGGCGAATGATCTGTTGCCATGCCAACGGCATTTGATGACATCCCATAATACGCTTAGATGCGTTGATGGCTGCATCGTTACCAAGCCTGTGAAGTTTTGGGCCGTTTGGAGCATTTTCACTGAAGTTATGAGAAAACTGTGTTTCATGGTGAGCATTGTGTTGCCATGGCAACGGCATTTGAAGAAATCTCAAAACTGTCCCGTAGATGTCCTCACGGCTGGACTGTTAGCACACATGTGAAGTTTGAGCACTTTTTGAAAATGTTCATAGGAGTTATAGCGACATCGTCTTTTATGGCGAGGGATGTGTTTCCATGGAAACGGCATATGATGACACCCCATAATTGACGTAGAGCTGTTGAGGGCTGGACCGTTAACCATTATCTGAAGTCTGGTGCTGTTTTGACCCTTTTCATAGGCGTTACGACAACATCGTGTTTTATGGCGAAACGGCATATGGTGAGATGTCAGATTTGACGTAGAGCTATTGAGGCATGGAGAGGTCATATACAGGTGAATATTGTGGGACGACCGGACCGTGTCCATTGGAGCTACAGCGACATCGTGTTTTATGGTGAGGGAATGCGTTTCCATGGCAACAGCCTATGGTGAGATCTCAGATTTTGCGTAAAGCTGTTGAGCCATGGACCGGTGATATACAAGCGAAGTTTGGAGGACGATCGGACTGTGTCCATTGGAGTTACAGCGACATCGTGTTTTATGGCGAGGGATGCGTTTCCATGGAAACGGCATATGATGACACCCCATAATTGACGTAGCAACACATCCTCACTCCCAGGTCGGCCTATGTTGACGTTATGTCAAGTCCTGTGTCGGCTTTTTCCAACGCAAGGGGGGGGGGGCTTAGCGTCCATTTTCAACGCAAGAGGGGGGCCCTTAGCGTCCAATTTCAGCTTTCCGGGATGTCCATATGCTTCTATGGACGCTCATGGAAGCACGGCATTCGTTTGTGTCGGCTGCCCTTAAAGGCAATGTGAGCGTCCATTCTCATTGGATAACGGAGAATTGTACACCCGGAAGTAAGTATTCCCCTTACTGTCGATTGAGTTTACAGTGATATCTGCACTACTCATCGACTAAAAAACACCAGATTATCCTTGTTAATTACACAACATTGATTGGTTTAAATTGTGTGCAATGCTTTTGTATTTTTCCCCTTCGATTCGGAGAAACAAATATTTTTTTGGAGTAAAGGATGGCAGAAGACACTACACTACCCAGAATCCCCAGCTATCGTTTGGACTACACCATGTGCTCTGTTTGACGTCACGTGATCTTCAAATTTCTCCCTGCAGAAAAAAAAACATGGCCGAACTTCGTTTTATTCTCGGTGGAAAATGCCTATTTTAAAGTTAGTTTGGCCATTCAAATGCGTTTTGATGTCATTTGATGCGAGAAATATGAGTTGTTATTTCAGATTATGTGTGCAGTGGATGTACATGATCTTTAGTTTGCTAGTTATTACGAAGATTACTTCAGGAAGTTTTCATTGTTACCAAGGTGGTTGCTAGGGACGCTGCTATCGATATTATTTCTGTTATGTTGTGTAACTGTTTAATGGTGTTATCTTTATTGCTACCCCCTTCCCCGTCAATGTATAGTGTTGGTCCACAGCGCAAACGTATTAGTTTAACAAACTCCGCATCTAAAGATACGTTATTGTCCCCTGTGCAATTCCAGTCTCACATCTCACAGCACATCGTCATTAACAAATACCGAAAACAGACCGAAAACATTTAAAAAAAATAAAATAATACTTTATTCCGAGTGTGCTTGCTTTTCTCTTTGGAAGTCATCACATAACGGCATTGTAATACACGGTTCGGCTGCATTAAATATTACATATCTGCCGTAGTTCTGTATTTATAGAGCCCTGATGAGAAGACTTCTAGACAAACATGAGGAACTGAAAACGTGACGTGGATCATAAATATATCAGCAGTTAAACAACATCTTACATTTCTTTTCACACAATACGTCTCGTTGCAGTATCAACACTAATTCGGCTGACTTTTATATTTGATCCAATTGGTAGATAGGCTGTATTTACACCATAAAGGTGCACAGCTGATATAAAGGGACACCTAGTGGTTAAAGCATGTTATTGAATTTCATTATTTGTATTATTAGATATTAATAGGATCCCTATAAAGTATATTCATTACTCGTTATTCTCTACTAATAGTTAATTAAAGACTGTATATAATGACTATTTTGCACATCCCTTTCAAGATTTCAAGATTTTCTAAGGTTTATTGACATATCATATAGGCCTACACAACTATGGTGTAGTTCTGCATTGAATGAAAAACTTGGGTCGCAGGTTCCTCAATAGTGCATTACAAGACATCTATCAATATT